CCCCAAAACCCCAAAACCCCAAAACCCCAAAACCCCAAAGAGTGCCTTCAAAATTGAATTATGAAAATGAATATTTTTCATTAAATTTAACTGTCAAATACATCTAATTGACAAAATCACTCCTTGAATTAGGACTCGGAGTGAACCCTGGGGAGTTCTCTCTCATTCTCCTAATAATCTGTAGTTCCCTCGAAAGATTATGGTGAACTGCTTCTTTCTCTGACCGTGGGGGTTTCTGGTTGGAAGTGCTGTTTGACCTACAAAATCTCAGCCAATACCTACGTTCAGTCCTTATAAACACTATGACGACTGTCTAGCATGTTATTTATGGACGCTATAGCTCGGACTAGTAGTCTGCACAACAGCTACATTAGGTCAAACAAGCGCTTACGAGTTATATTGATATCCCGACTATTTGAATTTGGAGTCTGACTAGGAGAATTAATAGCACTAGGACTGTTAAACTCAGGCAAATTTATCTTCCTCGTTATGTTCTTCCTCTGAAAGTTGTAGTTGATATCTTTGTATTTGTTGAATTGAAATTGAGGATTTGTATTCGAGTGATAGTATTCAGCCTTAAAGTCTTTACTAGACCTTCATTTCTCCCTCAGATTTGGGTCCTTATTCTGATTTTCTAAAAGTTGGTAATCCCCAGCTGCACTATTTTTCATTAAGCTTGAAAGGGAAGAGTCTAGAACAGAAACTCTTGTTCTCTTTGAATAATTATTTTCTCGATAGCTTGCTGTTATTATATGTGTTTCTCAGAGCCTCCTGTATTACAGCATTTGAAGGAATTCCTGCAAACATAAATCCACTACCACTATGATTCTTGCTCCCTAAATTATTTTGGCTTCTTGTGATAGAACTTGAGAAATCTCTGCTCCGAATATCTCTGAGATGTCTAATGCTATCTTCAATATTGTTACTCCCTTGATTATCTTCGCTATTGTCACTATCTTCAAATTTATCTTCCTCTACTTTAAGCTGGAACTTTTTATTAAACCTTTCATCCTTCAGAGAATCGATGTATCCTATATTATCTGCACCAGAGCAGGATGATTTTAGCCTTGATTCTCCCTCTGTGATATTCATGCTCCTTAGTCTGGCTTGAGACAGCTTCTTCTGCCTGCTCATTAGATTAGCGATTTTATTCTTCACAGATCCAGTAGTTTGGTGGCGAAAAGCCCGATCTGTTCTCAAAACTTGGTTATATAGCTCTGCTTCAGCATCAGAAGCTCCACTCTCAGTCTGTTTCCTGATCACAGTGGACACAGCAGCATCTGTGAGAGTTTGGGATCCAATATTATTCCCAGAAGCAAGGCTAGCTGAGTTCTTCAAAGATCTATCATTATTTTGAGGACTTTGAGGCATTTGGTGGGTAGTCTTAACCAATATGTGCTTTTCCTCCTCATTGATAGTCTTCATCTGTTTTCTTTGCCTCTCTTTCTGCATAACTAGTACCTATTTCAGATGAACAGTTTAAATACCTTATTTTAAGTTATGAACATAAGCTAATTCAAGACTTCTTAAATTTTGGTCAAAGTCTCACAACTTTTCATACAGACTAATTTGGAGATCAGGGTCTTCAATAGGGTTGTCATCCTTTATCTTATTCCAAAATTTCTTAAAGAAACCTTTGGTTGCTTTCTCATACTTCCTTCAAGCATCATCAATTTTACACAGGAAGTTCTGGATGTTCATTAAACTAATTTGGAGCTTGCTCGCTTGAAAAATAAAATCGACACTGAGAGGGAACTCTTCACTCGGAGTAATAGCCACGACTGGGTTCTTACAGCTCAGAATCACAGTTTTGGTGTCATAATAATACGACTCCTCCAATCTGTTAGGGATTGCATTCATCAGCTTATTTAAGCCCAGGCATTTTCTTAAGCCTGTATCGATAAGAATTCTTGTGGATTATCCTCCAGTGAAGGGATAGCATCTCCAAAGTTTTCAAAAATATCGATATTTTGCTACAGTTATCTTCGAATACTCTCTTTTTGGACTTATAAGAAGCCGTACTCCCTGGACTTACTTGAGACCATTTCGGAGGAGCGTTATTTACAAAAGATGTGGCCTCCTTCTTAAAACTCTTAATCATCTGTGAAGGATTCCTAACTTTGGTAATAGAGGAATAGTTATCCGTGAGCTTTGATGTATTCATACTGAGTCCCACATTTTCAGTATTTCGACTCCGAAACTCTGAATTCATCAATTTAGGGAACTTCTTCCCCTTCTTAGTAGTAAAAAGGAATGGCTTGCTACTATCAAGTAAGTTCTCTTTCAAGGGAGACACTTTCGGGGACTCTAAAGCGAAGTTATTAAGCCTAGTCTTTTCGAACGACTATCAATATTCTCGCGGGAATATTTTTCACAGAAACAGTCACTTACTCCTTCTTCGAGGAGATTTCCTGACGAAGTCCAGAGAATCGAGTATTTCTGCTGAAATTCACTTGCTTTTATTAATAGCGTGAGAAAGTAGGACTTCTGACCTCTGTTTAAAACTCTTAGAGCCATTAATAATTTTATCCTCCATTATTTCTCTCTGTTTCTGGTTGTCAAAACTATGCTTAGGGTGCATCCCTGGCTTATTTATCGTATACCTTCAGCCACTTCCAGGGAGTTTCGAGCTAACTGTTATCCTCTTGTAGCTAAGAGGCGCTATACTGTTAGGACAGTGGGTATTACTACTCTCAAGGGGCTCTTGGGTCTCCATAGTGATGTATTTAAAAAAATATTTAATATAATGTTTCATATAACTTTTAAAATGTCTTCAATATCTTAAAATTGAACAGGGGTTTTGGGGTTTTGGGGTTTTGGGGTTTTGGGGTTTTGGGG